CGGCCTGCCGATAACGGAGTCGAGAAACGGCAACGTTTACACGGCGACGTTTCATCTCCTGTGCTCCGGCGTTAGCTTCCAAGCTCTTCTTCTTCCCGCTGCATTCGCAGCCCTTGGATGGTAAAAACAAAACTATATATATATATATATATGCACATATATGTTTTTTTTTCTTCTGGGTTATTTGATACAGCTAATGGAAGAAGCACTGTATATATTTAACAAAAAGGAACACTGTATATATATGTGTGTGTGTGTGTATATGTTGCAGGGCATGGGGGATAATAAGCTTGTCAGTAGGGTTTATATGGCAGATGTACACGGCATGGTTACTGGTTCATCTCCATGAATCTGTTCCTGGAACTCGTTTCAGCAGATTTCTTCGTCTCGCCATTACAGCGTTCGGTAAGAAGATTTAAAAAAAAAACACGTGAGAATGGAGCTTTAGAAGACAATTCAGTTTTGTTGTCCTAATGGGACACGGGGGGATGTGGATGGAAAATTTTATTTTTACATTCTCTTTTTGGAATTTTTTTTTTCCTTCTTCTCAAAATATACTGATCAGGGGTGGTCACTGAAAGGAATTGAAAAATACATTATTTTTTTCAATCCGACCGTTTTTTAACAGTATTAATTTTAGAAATCGGATTTTTCAAAATCAAACCGAATTTTAAAAAAATCCGAAAAGTCGGATTTTTTTCAAGAAAATCTAATTATTTAAAAAAAAACCTGTATGATATAATAATTAATTGATACCTATCTTTATAAAACCGAAAAAATCGAATGGCATTTTCGACCGAACCAAAGCTAATACCGAAACGTAATAATGTCAACCCATGATAATAATACCATAGTCTTGGTACTAAAAAGTTATCAATTTTGTAAATGGTCCCAAAAGTTATCAATTTATGCATTTTTTATTTTTATTTTTTCCAAAAGCTTGTTGGGTTCTTTCCTTCAAGCAGTACTCTCACCAACAAAAAAGTTTATATCTTTTTGGAAATACAAATGTCAAAAACCTCGATTTTTTGAAAAATTCGTAATCGTTTCTTTGGTCGATTCCTCGTAATTGTGTTTGAAGATCAAAGAAACAAAACCCAATATGATCCCTGAAATCGAAGCGTCGTTAAAACGCAGGCGAGAAGATCGGAAAACTGGTCGGAATATTCCCGGTGATGTACCTCTCCGGCGGAGCATGCGTGATTCTGATCATCACCGGAGGCAAATCAATGCAGCAACTCTACGGCATCCTCTCCGGAGATGATGATGATTCAGAGCCACTTACTTCAGTTCACTGGTTCCTGATCTTCGCTTGCATCGCCGTCTCTTTCGCCCAGTTTCCGAATCTGAACTCACTGTTCGGACTCTCCTTGATCGGAGGTGTGATGGCTATGGGGTTCTGTACCATGATCTGGGTTTTGCCCGTAGATGCTCGAGGACGGTCCAGAAATGGCGTTTCGTATGATACGACGGACACGAGTTTCAGTTCTGTCTTCAACGCGGTTGGATTCATTGCTCTTGCCTTTCGTGGGCACAATCTCATTCTCGAGATTCAGGTAAAACAGATTTTGAGACAAGAATCTCACGAGATCAAATCCGTTTTCACCATTCTTGAACATGTTTTTCTTCTGGTAAAAATATGCAGGGCACTCTCCCTTCGAACTCAAAGAAGCCTTCGAGCAAGACGATGTGGAGAGCTGTAATGGTATCTCAAGTGTTGATCGCCATGTGTATGTTCCCGTTATCGATAGCAACGTACTGGGCGTACGGAAATACGGTATACGGATTTACAAACCAAGATCTTTTTGAAGTTCTTGTAATGGTTTGATGATCGATCTGATGTCAGTGTTCTTCTGTCAGATTCCGACAGCAGGAGGAACCATAGGCAAGTACCTGAAATTCTACGGACAAGACTACTCCAAACACGCGTCTTGTTTCATACACATCACGTTCATCCTCTCCTGCCTATGCTCGTACCCGATAACCGCAATGCCCGCCTGCGATAACCTAGAGTTCGTATACACGACGAGAAGGCGAAAGCCCTGCACTCTCTTCGCGAGAACGATGCTTAGAGTGTTGTTCGGATCCGTATATCTCTTCGTGGCTGTGTCTTTACCGTTCTTGCCTAACCTAGCCGTTCTTATAGGAGCGATTCCGTTGTCGTTAACGTTTACATACCCGTGTTTCATGTGGATCGCGATCAAACGGCCGAGCAAGACGAGCATGATGTGGTATCTCAACGTTTTGATCGGATTCTCAGGCGTCGTTTTGAGCATTCTGCTCGTGGTCACGGCGGCTATGCGCCTGGCCGACAAGGGTTTACGTGCAAACTTCTTCAAACCCTAGCCATGGACTCAAACCTCGGATTTCAAATCATTATATCCACATCTCTCTGCATATATACAGTAGAGGATACAAGAAAAAATTCGTTTAAAATCTTAATCTTATATAAAGACATTTAACAATTTCATTTAAAATTTTACAAACTTTATAAGAAAAAACAAATTTTTTTAAACTAAATAAATGGGGGAATGCGATCCCGTCCAAGTGAACGTGGATCCGCCCATGCTTGTACATGTAATTATTCAGAAATATACCGAATGTTGTATCATTTGTAAGAGCAAGATTTGGAGAGATCGACATTCTTGCCGAGGTTATTGCCCCGAAGAACGACGGCGCATCGGACCCGGGAGTAGAACTTGGACTTGACGAGCCGGCCGAGGACATAGGCCCGAGTCCTGAGCGTGAAGGTTAGGTTCAGAGGCAGGGTGACTCGGTCGGGGTGCGTCCGCTGGGCGTAGAGAAGAGGTATTCCGCCGTACAGAGGCACTTGGTCTCCGTATACGTTCGTTTTAATGATCCTTTGGCTCTTCCTTTTTTGAGTGAACTCCTCTATCTGTGTAGACATTTTGTTAGAACAATATGTAATGAATTTTGTATTGTGTATTTCTACTGGGGATGGATTTCAAAAATCCAATTTTTGAATGCGTTATCCGTCCGACCCATAAATCATATATTCATCTACCATCGAGACGAATATGGATTCAAAAATAGCAAAAACCCGAATTTCGGATTGGAATTCGAGTATCGGACTCCAAAGCTAGGGGCGGGGACTCAGTTTGGTTATAAAAAAGAACCTATATGACATGAATAACAACATAATAGTAGTTGAAAATAACACGATAGAAAAACTGAATGATTATGATGTTTTTATAACTGAAACGCGAAATCCGAACCGAATATAAATATTATAAAAAAAACGTAAAAAATTCTTTAGAAAATAAACATTTTTCTCAGAAAAAAATGAATTCGTACCGAATTTAACATAAAACTTAAATGGATATAAATTTTCTAAACCTGAAAGTACCAAATTCAAATAAAATGAACCGAATCCTAAACCAAAAACCAAAACCGGAATATCCACTCCTAACCCAAGGTTAAAGGTGTCAAAGGATTCAGCAAGAATTATACTGACTCAGAGATATGATTACGGGAAAGAGAAAACGACAATATGCAGAATGAACTGTGAGATGATGCTGACCTGGCCGGAGGCGAGGGTGAGCTGGGAGATGCTGAGCTGGACAGGGGAAGAGGTGACGTGGACGGCGAAGAAAGTGGCTGTGTTCCGATACAAAATCCTGACCGTTGAATTCAGATTCAGCATATCTGTCGTCACTCCCGAACCGTCACTCCCTGACTGCACGTTCATGCTCTCGAACACAATCCCCTGTACATACACACACACATTCATTCATATACACAAGTACATACACCATTATATATATATATATATATATATATGTATTTGTGTATACCTGCAGAGTGACTTTCGGGCTGAAGGATCTGCTAGCGCCCCACAAGATCAGACAGAACAGAGAAAACGCCAGAGCGAAAGCGAAGATCAAACAGATGTAGAACCTGACTTTCCTGGCCCTCCGTTCATGGGGACCGTCCATCTCGATGTCGTCCTCGTGATCGTAGTCGTCCTCGTCGGCGATCCGACGGCCCTGTTGCAATCCCATGCTGCTGTATCCCGCGAAGGTTCGAGGGTTCTGGTTCTTCAGCGGCTCCGAGCACCTCGACGTCGTCCACGACCCTCGAGAGTGGCGGTACTCCTCGTCGCTCCCCGTGCTGACGTGTCGTGTCTGCGCCCGGACCGGAGACCCGACCGGGCTGAAACCCGACCCGCTTGATGCCTTGTCCACATCGGCATTCGGCGGGCTCTGCACGAAGTACGCCGGTCTCTCACGCGGCGACGTCTCCTCCGAATACGTCTTCGGGTGCATCTCTCTCTCTCTCTCTCTCTCTCTCTCTCTCTCTCTCTCTCTCTCTCTCTCGGGACAGAGAAAAAGATGAGAAGAGGGTTTGCAGATTTGTTTTGGTCCGTTTGGGAAAGAAATCTTTGGGTTTGAACCCTGTTTGGAAGGTGGGAAAATGCAAGGTATGTATGACAGAGATTAAGCTAATAAAACTGTATTAAGAAAATTTCTTGAAAGTGTTACAGTGTGTGCGCTGTATACAGTATGAAACGCGCAAGACAGATGGTAATTAAAGTTGGCTAATGGATTAAGAATCTAATACGGGCTAATCAATTTCATTCGTTTTGTTCAAATGCGCAAGGAGTTGAAAGGATTGAAACGGTCGCATTAATATTATTCTTTTTTATAATTAAAATCAAACGTAACCTCGGTTCCACTGACCCCTGAAAAGACAGATATGCCCTCCTATTCCTCAAATCGATTCTTTTGTACGACGTGCCAGCTACTATATAAAAGTCGCATATATGTATATAAAAGCGTGTGTACGTGTAACCTTGTTTTCCAAAACAAGGAAACTTAAACTATATATATATAGGAGATTGCGTTTCAATTTGTATTAGATGACATTCCTTTAGGTAATGTCAAGAAAAGAAAAAAAGGAGTATCATTTCATTTGGGGGCGTCACAATTCACAAATACATTTTCTAGATATTGACATAAGCATCCTAAATAAACATTTTAATCTTTGACCATTGATGGGCAGATCGTCAAATGTCACGTAGATGCAAAAAGAAAAAACATAAATCCGGAATTATATTTGAATATAATAATATACAAGAGTCATGATGCATACACACCCAGAAGGGGGGGGGGGCTCTCATGAGCATTACAAACCATTGGCTCATGGAACGAGCTTCCGAAGCTCAAGCCAAATGATCATATGGATTGCTTCTCTGTAAAAATTTCGCCTTTTTTTTCAAGTTCCGAATCTCACAAAGAGGTGGCAACTCCATGTTCACCATGTTGATCTTCAGGGTTACTAGGATGTTTCTCCTAGATTTTCTTCTGCGTTCTGCATCCAGACAAGAGACGTGATATCTTAGATGTTAGCCACGAGACACGGGTTATGACTCGGTAGTGCGAAAAGAAACGACCAGCAAATCCGGAAGGATGTGTTAGACTGGCAAATCCCGGAAAAAAAAAATATGGCTACGGATGCAGAAATGTTGAGATATCTGTTGTAAGAATTCAAACTTTCAACCTTTCTAGATCATGGTAAGGAACAAGGCATATCACTAGAGAGTGTAAACAACTTCAAGAACACGATCCTAGACAGAACTAGTTTCCTTTTTCGTACCCGGTATTGAGAATTGAAGCTACGGACCTCGGACATGGAGGAAGCAATCCACTGAGGTGGAGGCCAAAACAGCTTTGCCAGTTCAGGGCGTTTGCGCAATGGCTCTATTTTCCCTGTCCTGAACTCGAAAACTCCTACATCTCGATCCTGCATTGTTCCATAGTCTTCCCCATTGAAGACATTGCCATTGAATAAGACGGAACTCTCTCTACGAAGAGGTAACACATCAGATGCCGAGGCCGAGAAGTTGCAGTCATCACCCAAAAACAGCATCCTATCCCCCAAATCCCCCCCGACCTCAACCCAGCCCTTCTCTCTCTTGTCGAATTTAAAAACCTTAAACTTGACAGTTCTCTCGTTCATGTAATAAGCAAGATGCTCGAAAAACTCTTCGATGAAACCCGGCGCTCCATCCACGGCCTCGATGCTCAGATACATATCCACCAACATCAATTCACCACGAGATTCTACCAGAAACTTCTTGTCCCCACCAAATACAGGATTTGCCGCCAATGTTAGATTCAACGACAAGAAATCCACAACCACAGTTCTCCCATTGTTATCGACGGCGTAGAATTGATCATCGAACAGGATAACATCATCATAAGGAGACGGCATATCAGGGATCACAGCCCAGGATCGCTCCCATGACTTAAACACAGCCAACTTACCAGAGACATGAATCGTAAGCAGCACGAATTCGTTCTCCGCGTCACTGTCAAGAAACTTAACAACCGCTTTCTCCAAGTATAAACTGTCAACGATGTTACCGACGCAATTGAAGTAATGGAGTTTGAATTCCTGACCCAATTCGCGAACCCTAAACCTCGAGAGATCGAGAACCCGAGGGAAATCATCGGGAAGGCGATTCAATCGGTCGCTCAGAGGATCGACAAGGACCATTCTACCGGGATCATCGATGTCTTCCTCTACCTTCACGAGCCACGCGAACGGATTTGTTTCATTGTGCTGTTCACGTTGCCCGATGAGGAAGATGCTCCTTCGGGAGAGGCGGAAACCAGCAGCGGAGTCCGGGAAGAGTCCGCCGCCGTTGTCGGGGAGAATCGGGAGGTGATGGGCCGGTCGGTGACGCTTCGGCTCGGCGGCGGATCGCCAGGAGGAGCACACGGAACGGAATTGGATGAGATCGAAGGAAGTTTCTAGACGTTTCGAGATCAGGACGAGGAGATCCTTCGGGAGAAATGCCCAATCCACCATGGGTGAATGTTTTTTTTAACCTAGAAGCTCAGAGAAGGAAACTCGGACATGAAATACGAACCGTGTGTCTGTACGGCTGTACTCATTAGAGACACCACAGTTTGGAACGCACGGTTAAACCAGGGGCGAAAGTTCGGTTTTCGAAAATGGTTCAATTTGATTCGGTTTTATAAAAATATATAATAATCCGTTAATATTTTATATTTGGTTTGATTTCCGTTTTAGTGTGGTTCAATTCTGATTTTTTTAAAAATAGATATTTTAACAAAATCAGTTTTCCGATTTTTTTTTTTAAAATTCACTTCGATTTGATTTTGGAAAAATTGTTTTTTTATCCGATACGGTCTGCTTTCAATGAACCGTACCGAAACGTTCTAGCTTAAACCATCATACTAGAAAATCTTGAAATAGTAGAAAAAATATATATTTTTATTTACTTATTACATTATGATATTCTATAAAATTGCATTTGAACCCAAAATTTTCAATTAAACCATTTTTTTATTCTTTAGATTGAGATAAATGAATATTAAATTCAACTCAAACGTAGAAACTATTCGCTTGGAAAAATCTAAAACCTTAGTTTGTCCGTTGATAATATGTGTATTATTATTTTAAATAAAATCAATCAAAATGCATTAAATATATGGTTAGCGGATCATTAAGAAAGTTAATGTAGTGATGTCAATTGGGTTTTATCCAACCCATTTGGATTTCAAAGATAAATGGATTGAGTTGGGTCAACCCGTTAATAACAATGGATTGGGTTGGGTCGACCCATTAAACCATTAAATCCATATAAACCATTTAAACTCATTTATATATTCATATACTACTTATATATATATATATAACTATTAGTATTAATATGTATACTCATATAAACTAGGGATTGACATTTTAATAATTGATCCGGTTATTCGATTCAATAAAAATATATACAAAATCGGATATTATATTATATTCGATAGTTTATAAAAAATAATTATATATTTTCTTAAAAAAATTAGATTCTTCGAGTTTTTTAAAATTCGATGCGATTCGATTTTTTAGAAATATTGCCCTTTAGATTTTTTGAACGATTCAGTTTGAACATGACACCGAATTTTTCAATACGATTCAATTCGGAAATGGTACTGAGTTTTTCGATATGATCCGAATTTTTCGGTACGATTTGATTCAGAGCAGTATCAAGTTTTTTTTTATACGGTTCGAATTTTTCGGTACGATTTGATTCAGAAATGACATCGAGTTTTTCGACGCGATTCGATTTGGAGCGGTATCGAATTTTTCGATACGATTCAAAAATGACACCGAATTTTTCGATACGATTCGATTCGAAAATTGTACCGAATTTTTTTATACGATTCAAATTTTTCGATATGATTCGATTCGAAAACGACACCAAATATTTGATCTAATTCATATACATATATATACTATATATGTTAATATTTATATATCTAAATATAACAATTTTAATTAGTTACTAAATGAATTTAATTTTAACTAAGTATATAATAGGTTTAATGGGTTAACTATTTAACCCATGAGTTTAATGGACCAAACTCCATTTAACCCATTTTAAAATTTTAGTCAAATGGACTAACTCAAATTTATAAATAGGTCGGGTATAGATATGTCGGGTTAGATCGACCCGTATTTCCGGACCCGTTTTGATATCTCTATGTGAGAGATGGATTCACTAATCAATCTTTTAGATATGTTTTTGAATGTGTGGGCGACTAAATTTGTGTTTAGATGGAAGTAGATTATCTTCGTGATTATGATCCAAGATTTGGTAAATAAGAGCGGGTTAGATTAGATTATACATCCGAAATTTTAGATTGTCCAATCCAAATCCAAATAATTCAAAAATATTGAATTTGAATCTTTATTCTCAATTTTTAGGATCAAAATCTTATTATTTATTGTCCGATGATAATAATAATAATACCTTATTATTTATTGTCTAGGTATTGATATCGTAATATAACAAACATGCCAATCATATAACGGGAAAAGTAATGCATTCATAAACCAATGAATCAGTACGTAGTCAAAATGTCATATCACGGATCATCGTAGAGCATTAAAACCAACACAGACTGAGGTAGTTAATAGAACACTATTCACATTGCTTAGGGCATTGATTAGCAAGAATATTAAAATGTGGGAAGACTGTTTACCACATGTTGAATTTGCATATAATCGATATGTGCATAATGCTACTCGTTTTTCTCCATTTGAGATTGTGTATGGGCTTAATCCAACTACTCCGTTAGATTTGAGTCCCTTACCTATGTCTGAACAAACTAACCTTGATGGAAAGAAAAGGGCCGAGTTTGTGAAGCAGATACATGAGAAAGCGAGGAAGAATATCGAGAGGCGTACGGAACAATACACCAAGCAAGCTAACAAGGGACGTATAGAGGTTGTTTTCAAGCCTAGGGACTTGGTGTGGGTTCATATGCGAAAGGAATGTTTTTCTAGTCAGAGGAAGTCGAAGTTGATGCCAAGAGGCGAAGGCCCTTTTCGGGTTCTTGAACAGATCAACAACAACGCCTACAAAATTAAACTTCCAGGTGGGTATGGCGTTAGTCCTACTTTCAACGTTGCTGACTTTTCTCCTTTTGATGCAGATGATGAACAAGATTTGAGGACAAATCCTTTTGAAGAGGAAGAGAATGATGAGGACATCACTAGGACACAGGATCGACCTCATTCAAATGTCCAAGAGGAGCTTCAAGTGCAAGGGCCATTGACACGAGCTAGGGTCAAAAGACTGCAAGCGGCTTTCGTGCGTATGATTCAAGGGGAGTTCAGAAATAGGCTAATAAAACATATTAGTGGCCCAAACATCACTCCAAGTCCAACCAACAACAAAGGCCCAATGTTCAAGCCCACAAACTTAATAAGGCTTCTTGAAAGCCCAAAAGAGGAGATGATGTAAGCGTGACACCAAAATGACTCAACATCCACCAACTTACCAAAGTCAAAAGTGGAGACAATCAATGGTCAAAAGCTTTGAGATAGAAAAATTCATAGTTAGATCCCTGAAATCCTTGCGCAAAGAAGAAAGCGTTCTTCAGTCCTAGCAGACAAGTTCCAACTGTTGGAATCCTTTCCGCTGTGTGGATGTGCCATGTATTGATTATCTTCATCTATAGATAGAATAGAAAAAAAAACAAAAACCCTAATTTGAGAACTGGGCTTTGATACCAAATGCTACGATCCTAGGCTCGAAATTTCTCAAATAGGGTGAAAAGGATAGTCGTGGATGTTACCAAAACCCCTTAACAACTCGTGAATCAAACCTAGGAGTAGTCTCAATCCCTAAGGACCTCCTAAACCCATCCAAACCTGGTTAAGAAACCTTGAAACCGGTAGCAGACGCCACAAACACGGGTGATAAACGTGCTTGATAAGTCGACCGAGATATTAGTGACTCAATCACAAAGTCCAAAACTAGCACTCAAGAACAAGGAAGAATCTCTCTCCTTTATTAAAAAACTCTATAAAACTCCAAAAACAATGGTCTGAATGTAAACGAAAATAAATAAGACATTAAATAGATCAAACAAACCCTAAAACAAAACAATAAAAATCGAAACCCTAAAAAGTGTCCAAAACTACGTAGTTTAGAATAAAACACGTAAAAGTGACTTGGACCGAGTTACATTTGGCTCAGTCCTGTCAAGTCTCTAATGAATTGGCACGGTCCAGATTAGAATTGAAATGGGTCATGTTGGATTTCTGTAAACCTAGCGTGGGCCGTGTCAGATTTCTGAGCAAACTTCCTTCATCCTTACTTGTGGCTCGTGTCAATCCCTTAAGGATGTCCTCATCAATCGATATCCTGCATATACTAACGTCTCCTTTGTCTATGATTTCTCTTATCAAGTGAAATTGTCTGAGATTGTGTTTGGATTGTTGATGGGATTTGGGTTCCTTGGATTGAGCGATAGCGCCATTATTATCACAATATAACACAATAGGATTCTCAACACTAGGAATGATACCCAGGTCGCCGATGAACTTTCTGATCCAAATAGCTTCTTTTTTGCATCTGATGCAGCTATATACTCAGCTTCTGTAGTGGAATCTGCAATGGTCACTTGTTTGGAACTTTTTTAGCTAATTGCGCCCCCGTTTAAGTAGAAAACATAACAAAATTACGATTTATAGTCATCTATGTCAGATTGGAAGCTAGCATCGGTATAACCGCTTATAGCGAGCTCTCTTCTAATCCACCATACACAAGGAACAAATATTTAGTCCTTCCTGTTAGTTTAGTGCTCTATGATGTACTATTGTGCGAGCTTTATTATGATACATTTGATGTATTGACACTTGCTAAGTGTTTGATTCATTACGTATTATGCATACTTTAATATGTTATGAAATCCATGTATTATTATGAACGATACTAAACTCCCTAATCATATGTCATTGTGGGAATAATGATATACTAAGACTAGTATGATGTGTGATTGATGATCATAGATATGATCATAGGATAATAATAATAATAATAATAATAATAATAATAATAATAATAATAATAATAATAATAATACGCATTTAGCACATTTTTTGCATGTCCAAACGAAAAAATCTGTTATGCAGATGACAGTTTTGTTTTTTGGCCATTTTCTAAATGCGTTAAATTAAAAAAAAAAACGTATTATATTTGACTTTCTTTACAGTCTGTCTTAGCTGGCTGTTTTCAATAACAACAATATTAATGAAATAAAGTTTATAGCATTCATTGGAGTAATAGATCAATCTGATATATATATATATATATATAATGCTGGTTTTTGGAGTTTTCAAAGACCAAAATCCCAAAACATAACAATTAAGTTTTTGTAATTTTGGTTTTCCTAAAAAACTTGGAAAACCATTTAAGTGAAATAATTAACTAAAAACCAAAAGCTCCATTGTTTTTGGATTTACAAAACTACAAAACCAAAAACTAAAATCTAAAGCCAAAAACTCTAACCGTTCATAACCTTCTAAACTAACCCTATATACTAGCTCAAATCAATACTTTAAATTAATTACTTATTCTAATTAAATTCTAAACCAATTATAGTATATAGGGTTTCGAGTTTTAAATTTAGTGTTTAAAGCAACTCTAAACCAATTTATGATTTAGGGTTTTAGATTTTAGAATTAATAATGTTTAATGTTTAGAGATTACACAGATTAGCATCTAAGATTTAGAATTCAGAGTTAGGCGGAAATTAAGAAAAGTAAAACGTGAATCGGAGAAAAAGTTCTGTCAAATAATCTAACACAAATTATTAAAACATATTTTTATTGGTATATAATTGCTATAAAAAAATATTTTTAGATGAGAGAACTGCAAAGACAAATAGATACATCTAAGTTACATTTAAAAAAAAAAATTGATTGCCAGATCTAGGAAACAACGAAATTAATAGACGTTAAAAAAAGTGGAAGTGAAAATAACACATAAACAATGGATTTTTAATTTTCAATTTTATTCCTTTAATTGATATGGCATGATGAACAATTGTAAATACATACAATATTATATATATTTTTTCCTAAATTAATATCAGTTCTGTAAATTTTCAAGATTCTGATATAAAAAATTGTTTTTATTTGGTGATTTGAAAGGATTTGTGACTTTTTCAATCTAAAAACGCAATTTTAACATTATCTTTTATATATCACAACCACCCAAACTTGCCACCCATTTTTCAGCATTACCAAATTTTTTCAAAGTTTCACGTTTTTTTTTAAATAATAATACTGGAAAAGTACATATGAAGAAATCGACAAAAAAAAAGTATCTCCAATGCACTATATATATATATATATATATGTATACACATATGTGTTTCACATATCTTTATCAAAGTCACAACCTTTATCACAACAAAAAAAACAATGGAGGAAGGAAAGATAATGCAGGTTAGGGTTGAGGAGGAAGAAGAAGCAAAAATTTGGAGGTACGCGTTTGGGCTTGCTGACGTGGCGGTTGTGAAGTGCGCCATTGATCTGAAAATACCCGATGCTGTCGAGAACCATACGTCACAGCCCGTGACTTTAGCAGATCTCTCCGCCGCCGTCTCATGTTCTCCGGCGCTCCTCCGCCGCATAATGAGGTTTCTTGTCCACCAGGGCATCTTCAGAGAAGAACCCACCAAAGATGGCGGCGCCGGCTACACGAACACGCCTCTCTCCCGCCGTCGCCCTCCCCCTCCAATGGCCCTTCCGATTCTACTGGCCTGCAGCCCGGTGATGATGGCTCCGTGGCTGAAGCTAACCGACGTCGTATCGGGAAATGGCCCGAGGAAGCAGCCGTTCGAGGCGGCGCACGGGAAGGACGCGTGGGCGTACACCGCAGAGGATCCGCGCTTCAACGAGATGTTCAGCCAGGCTAGGGTATCTCCGACACCAGGATGGTGGTTCCTGCGGTGGTCGGTTCATGCGCCGACGTGTTCGACGGCGTTTCGACGGTGGTCGACGTTGGCGGTCGGGACGGAGAAGCGATCGGGATACTGGTGAAGGCATTCCCGTGGATCAAAGGCGTCAACTTTGATCTTCCCCATGTCGTGGAAGCCGCGAATAAGGTCGAAGGCGTGGAGAACGTTGGAGGTGACATGTTTGATTCTATTCCCCATGCCGATGCTGTTTTCATCAAGGTTAACCATTTTCTAACACTATTATCATCCTTTTTTTTTTGGTATAAACATTATTATCATCTTATTATAGAAATGTTATAATTAATATGTCCAACGGCACGCGTTTCGGTATTCGATTTAGTTTTGTACCGTAATTTGTTCGTTCGGGTTACTCGGTGGTAGAAAAATATATACCAAACAGTTATTATATTATACTCGGTTTGGTTTCGCCTTTAGTTTTTATTAAAAAAAAAATATATATTTTTAATATTTTTTTAGTTTTTTTAATATTCGGTTCGTGTCATTTCGGTTACGGATTTCTGAATAGTTCGGTTTAGGAATAATACCGAGTTTGTCGGTTTAGTTACAAAAGAATCGAGAACCGAACCGAAACATATATACATAGGGTCTGACTCCGAACAAAATTGGGGAATAAAGCGTTGCCGTCTGTGGTTGGCAGTGGATTTTGCACAACTGGAACGACGAGGATTGCATAAAGATACTGAGAAAATGCAAAGAGGCGATGCCGGAGGAGAAAGGGAAGGTGATAATAGTAGAGGCGGTGGTGGGACAGAAGAAGGACGACAAGTTAGAGTACGCGAGGCTCCTGTTCGATATGACGATGATGACTCAGATGTACGAGGGCAAGGAGCGGACTTTGGGGGAATGGGCTTATGTCCTTCGCGAAGCCGGATTCGCCCGACACGAGATCAGAGACATTAACTGCGTCCAGTCCGTCATCGTTGCTTCCGTCTCTTAAGAATCGGATTAAAAGATGTGAGGGAATTCACAACGGGAGAATAAAAACGTAATCGTTGCTAATAAACAGGTGTGAACGTTTGGTATTTGGTTCAGTTTCAGTATGTTATCGGTTCTATAATAATATTTACCGATCGATTATTATGTTACGTTCGGTTCACCACGGTTATGAAAAATGTATATTATTTAATAAATTTTTCTTATTTAATATTCGATTCGATTTGGTTATAGGACGGCCGCCGGAAACAGACGGCAGCCGGAAATGGAAAAAAAAAGAAAATCAGATAAATGTTTTTTTTTATATTTTAAAAAACAACCATAATACCTACTGGCTCTACTTACAACTCTCACACACACAATCGTAACGGAAATATGAACAGAATGGAATCATGGCCAACAAATACTAACAAACGCCCGTATATATACATGTATATATACATAATATATATTTTCCCTCATATATCCGAGGTTGTTTTTTTTTTGTTGGATGGATTTCAGGAAATCCTTCAAAGTAAGGAGCTACAAACAGATTAGAAACAGCGAAGGAGACCAGAACGAAAACAGCTCCGAGAAGCTCCCAATCCTCCACCAGGATCGTTCCGCCATGGCCTCTGATCATCCCACGCC